GGCGGCAGATGGGGTGAGTCATGCAAGGTCAACTCCAAGTCCTATCGGAAGAGAGGGGGGGGGGGGGGGAGTGAAATCTTGGGGAGGGTTGGGGAGGAGGGGGGGGTAAGGGGTGATCTCTAGGTGGGGGGGGGAGGTAGGGGGAGGGATGAACATTAGGGAAGAGCTAAGAGAGGGGGTCTAGGGGAGGGGGGGGGGCGGGGGCGGGGCGGGAGAAGGAGCGAAAGGGGGGGGGGGAGAAGGGAAGGGAGATAGGCGTCTTGTTATGGATTCCTGAGTGGGAATGCGTGTGGGAGTCATGCCCCCCCCCCCCCCACACGACCCCCCGGACCCCCGACCCCCCAAGAACCGTGTGTGACCGAGGCAGTGTTTATCGTGTTTTTTTTTTTTCGGTTTAATCTTTCCTTACGACTTTATCCTTGACCTCTTTCTTGTTCTTTTTTTCTTTTCTCTCTTTTTTTTTCTTTTCTCCTTTTTTTCTTTTCTTGTATACCTCTTCTTTCCCGTTTTTTCCCATTTTATCTTTTTTTTATTTTGTTGATTTTTTCTCTTTTTTTGTTTTTTCCTGACTCCTCTTCCTACATCTTCCTCTTCCTACTCCTCCCTTCCTCCTCCTTCTGCTGCTCCTCCTCCTTCTCCTCCTCCCCTTCCTCCTCCTCCTCCTCCTCCTCCTCCTCCTCCTCCTCCTCCTCCTCCTCCTCCTCCTCCTCCCCCCCCTATTAAACACTGACCTTGAAATTCATGGCCATAAGCTCAGTGAACGGAGATTGAGACCGAGACTAACAGCATCGAATTCGCACAAACGGGCCTGTTGTGCTTCGGATGCAAATGAACCGCCGATTTGTCCGCTTCTCGTGCCTGGGTTGTTCTTATTTAGTTGTTTTTTTTTATTGAATTTTCATTATTTGTTTATTTGTTGGTGTTTCTTTTATTATTTGATTTGATTGTCGTTTGTCTTGTTTTCTTCCTTTCTTGTTTTATTTTTCTTCTTCTTCTTTCTCCTCTTCCTTTACCTCCCTCTCCTGTTACTCTTCTTCCTCCTCCTCCTCCTCCTACTCCTTCTCCTCTTCCTTCTCCCCCTCCTCCTCCTCCCTCTCCTCTTCCTCCCGGGAGAGGGTGGAGGGAGGAGGAGCAGGAATGGAGGAAGGGGGAAGGAGAGAGGAAGGAGGAGACAAAGGGGGGGGAGAAGGGGAGGAGACGAAGGGGGGAGGGGGGTATGGGTATCATCCATCGAGGGCGAAATGTATTTGTCCTTCTATTTGACAGAAGAAACTAAATAAACGCGGGCTTTATTGGGGCAAGGCCAGACTCTGTTTGAACGGGACAGTAATCGGCTTTGACTCTGCCTCTCTGCCATTTCTTCTTGGTCCTTTCTTTCTGTTTTATTCCTTTTTTATTTTCTTTTTACTTTTTTGGGTCAGTTTGTCTGTATGTCTTAGTCTCTTTGTCTGTCTCTCTCTCTCTCTCTCTCTCTCTCTCTCTCTCTCGTCTCCTCTCTCTCTCTCTCTCTCTCTCTCTCTCTCTCTCTCTCTCTCTCTCTCTCTCTCTCTCTATCTCTCTATCTCTCTCTCTCTCTCTCTCTCTCTCTCTCTCTCTCTCCTCTCTCTCTCTCTCTCTCTCTCTCCTCTCCCTCTCTCCCCCTCCCTCCCTCCCTCCCCTCTCTCTCCCTCCCTCCCCCTCTCTCTCCCTCCCTCGCCCCTCTCCCTCCCTCCTCTCTCTCTCCTATTTGGTGCTTCTGTTCCCCAGTTTCTGATTTTCCCTTCGTTTTCTTTGTTTCTATTTGCTTCTCTCTTTCTCTATCCCGTTTTCATCGTCCCTGCCATTTTTGCTGTTCTTAGCCTCCTCTCCCTCCGCCGTCTCCTCCTCGTTTACTTTGCGAACATCTTCCTCCTCTTTTTCCCTCTCTACCTCATGTTATTCATCATTTTCTGTTTACTTCTCTCTCTTCTTTTCCACTTCTTTCCTTTTCCTCTTTTACGTCTTTCTCCTCCTCCTTTTATCCTCTTCCTCTTCTTCTTCATCTTCTTCTTCTTCATCCTCTTTTTTTTCTTCTTCTTCTTCTCCCCTTTCCTCCTCCTCCTCCTCTTCCTCCTCCTCCTCCTCCTCCTCCTCCTCCTCCTCCTCTTTCCTCCTCCTCCTCTTCCCTCTCCTCCTCTTCCTCCTCCTCCTCTTCCTCCTCCTCCTCCTCCTCCTCCTCCTCTTCTTCCCCCTCCTCCTCCTCCTCCTCTTCCTCCTCCTCTTCTTCCCTCCTCCTCCTCCTCCTCCTCTTCCTCCTCCTCCTCCTCCTCCTCCTCCTCCTTCCCTCTCCTCCTCCTCCTCTTCCTCCTCCTCCTCCTCCTCCTCCTCTTCCTCCTCCTCTTCCCTCTCCTCCTCCTCCTCCTCTTCCTCCTCCTCCTCTTCCCTTTCCTCCTCCTCTTCCTCTTCCCTCTCCTCCTCCTCCTCTCTCTCACTGTTTGCTCTTTGGTTTACGTATTAAAATGAACATAGATCGTCCCGGAAT